TTTTAAAATGATAGCATTCTCTATCAGATTCCAGGGACCTAAGAATAGGCTCTGTTTGCCAAGGTTGACAAGGACATACAAGAAGCTAACAACAGGAAAGGAAACAGGTAGTGAGTGTATAAGTGCTGTCAACTAGTAAACAGAGGAGCACAGCATAGTACCCTGCTTGCACAGATAACATACAAACAAAACAAAACTCATGGGCAAGTCACTCCAGCATACAATCACCAATTAAATATAAACACAAAAATGTCACAATGTCTCGAAGACAACAGAGCATCACAGTCCACACAAAGAAACAAGATAAAGCAGGAGAAACAAGAAACCAGGATACAGATCCAAAACACATCCCTGAGGAAGATGGAGCATTAGAAATCCCTGATAGGGAATTCAAAAGAATTATATTTAGGTATCTTCAAAGGATTGAGAGACATATCAAGGAAAATACAGACAAAACCCTAGAAGAATTTCAGAAGAACATACAAGAACAAAATGACAAAATAAGTGAAAAATTAGAAATGATTCAAAATCTACAGATATAAATTCAGAAGATTAATACTAAATTGTCAGAAATAGTTAACACATTGAAAGGGCAAAGGAGTAGAATTGATGCAATGGAAGACAGAATTAATGAGGTTGAAGACAAATACCTGAATACTTCTTTAAAAAGGTATCAGTCAGAAAAAAGATCAAAACAAAATTAAGAAAGCCTAAGGTTCATGTGGGATACCATCAAAAGGAATAACCTATGTGTCATTGGAATTCCAGAACAGGAAGAGAAAAAGCACTGAGAAAATTGTCAAAGATTTGTTGGAAGAGAACTTCCCCAATATGATGAAAGATGAGAACATATCTATTCAGGAAGTCCAATGAACCCCAAACATGATAGGCCCCAAAAGAATATCACCAAGACATATCATCATCAAATTCACCAAAACCAAAGACAAAGAAAGAACCCTGATAGCAGCACAGGAAACATGAAAAGTTAGCTCAAGAGGCATCCAATAAGACTAAGTTTGGATTTCTCGACAGAAACCATGCAGGCGAGAAGACAATGGGATGGTATATACAAAACCCTGAAAGAGAAAAATTTCCAACCAAGAATTATGTACCCAGCAAAATTGTCCCTCAAATATGATGGTGGAATTAGGACATTCCCAGATAAGCAGAAATGAAGGGAATTTGTTAAAACCCGGCCAACCTTACAAAAGACACTCAAGGGAGTCCTTTGGACAGAGCACCAACAACAGCCAACAACAGCTGACCATTAACACTCAAGATGACATAACCCAGAAACCAACCCAGTTGTGGAAGTATCCAAAGTAAATAAGCCTGTAAGATTGTAAACAGGGAACCAGAGACACCAATTGACAAATGAGGGCAACTACAAACCAAAAAGAGGGAAAAATATGTGTTGTTACAGAACTTCTAGATGGTAGGGATGTCAAGACAACTACAAGATAGAACGGACTGTTCTAAACTTGGGAAGAAAACTATAAATCACAGGGTAACCTCAAAGAAAAATAAACCTTCATATCAAAATGAAAAAGAGGACCAGCACAAATATTTAGCAAATACTAAAACAATAGCAATGAAGGAAGTGACAACATGATTCATAAACAAAACGAGCTCAGCATAGAAAATTATATGGAACAAAGAAATTGACACCACAAAAAAGCACACAATGAAAATGACAGCAACAAATTCATATTTGCCAATAATTACACATCTGGCAATGGACTTATCTCTAAGATTTATAGAAAACCCCAATGCCTCAAGACCAAAGGAATTAACAATCCTATTGAAAAATGGGCAGAAGACATGAATAGACACTTCACCAAGGAGGATATTCAGGTGGCCAGCTAATACATGAAGAGATGCTCACAATCACTGGCCATCAGAGAGATGCAAATCAAAATAATGAGATACCATCTCACCCCAGCACTGATGGCAAGGTTCAACGAGACAGAAAATAACAAATGCTGGCGGAGATGTAGAGAGATGGGGACTCTCATACATAGCTGGTGGGACTGTGAAATGATACCACCACTGTAGAAAGTAATATGGCGATTCCTTAGAAAACTGGAATTGGAGATACTATTTGACCCAGCAATTCCACTACTAGGTACATATCCTAGAGAGGTGAGAGCCAGGACAGAACGGATATATGCACACTCATGTTCATCGCAGCACTATTTACAATAGCTAAAAGATGGAAACAGCTTACGTGCCCATCAGCAGAAGAGTGGATGACCAAACCATGGTACATACACATAATGGAATGCTACGCAGCACTAAAGGATAATGTAGAGTCTACAAAACACTCCATACTATGGATGAAATTGGAGGACATTATGCTGAGTGAAATAAGGCAATCACAGAAGGACAGATACTGTATTAGTTTGTTGTTGTGGAGGGTCAAGGAAAGGACTATATATGGAGGGAAACTTTCTTTGTTGGTTGCTAGGGGTGGGAGGGGAGGAAGGAACACTGCAAAAAAAAAAACATTAATCCATGTCACTTTAGTTTTGTGTATTTCACTGTGCATAAATTATATTTCAATAAAATGCACTTAAAAAAAACTGACAGGCAACTTTATAGAAAGCATTTTTAAATGATTATCCATGATTGTTTTAATGTTTAAAATATATTTGAGAACATTTTACTATATTATTTATTGTCAATGTAAAATTTCAATGGAATTCAAAGCATTTATTACACTTCAACTTCATGTGGTATTAATTTTTCTTCTCTTCTGATTCTTGTGCCAATTTCAACTTTTCTTTTAATATCTGCTGATCTCTGGAATACTGTTCAAATATTGGCTGATAAATATACACTCCTCCAGCAATTCCAAGGATGCTAGCAAAAAGCAGTTGTGGAAGAGTCAATCTTCCAAACATTGTTTCAACAAATGCAACAGAATGCAAAGGTAGTTTTGAAAGATCACACTCCCATATCCAGGAAATCTCTTCAGATCTGTGTACAAAGAAAATGGGAAGCAGTAATTTAGCATAACATCTTTTTAAGATTTCATGTCACTAATTTGCTCTAGAGTGAACAATTTTTTTTTTTATCATATAAACATCAATTTCTAATTTAACTAAAACACATAGGGAGCCATGTGAAATTAGCTTTAGGAGATAATGTAAGGCAAAGCTAATTCCTTCTCTAATTCCTTCTCTAATGTACAATGCCTCAATATCAGGTGTTACACGGATAATTCAAAAACCAAGAAAAAAAGGCATACACTTTTTTGCCTTTAGAGGATACCATGAAACTAACTATTAAAAGAAACAGGCAAAGTGATTGCCTCTAAGGAATGAGACCTAGGAGAGGAGAAAGTTAGGCAGAAAACAATTACTTTTCAATATTAGCCCTTTGTATTTCAATTTTTAAAGCAATATGTATCATAAAAAAAAAATTCCTGTAAAAACCATATGGCCAAGGTGTTACAAACTCATGGAAACCCCATGTGTTACAGAGCAGAACTGTTCCATAAGGTCTTGGCTGTAATCGTTAGGAAGCAGGTGGCTGCTAGGCTTTTCCTCTGTGGAGCCACTGGGTTGGTTCTAACTGCCAACCCAGGTTTGCAGCCTATCACAAACTGTTTGTGCCACCCATGCTCCCCAATAACAACAATATTTTCGTAAGTGCCACGCTACTAATAAAAAGATTTGTGGTTCAAACCCGGCAATTTGCTTCCTTAAAAAGTACAGCCTAGAAAGCCCTATGGTACGGTTCTCTCGGTTACATGAGGCCAATGAGTTGAAAAGTGACTTGACCGCACTAACAACAACTGAAGATTTTATGTATGTTCCCTTTGATATTTTAGTAGGTACAAGTAGATATGCTATATAAATCATCTGCCGTGCGTTTTTGAGAGAGACAATGGCTGTTTGGTTTTAAAGACTCTAGTATTTTCTGGAAAGTAATATTTGTTGCCAACAGTTTCTAAAGAAACTAAATAAATGTTTATAAATGAGGAAAGCAGAGTGAATAATTTACATGTTTGATTCTGGTAATACGTTACTCGCCGACCTCTATTATAACAATAATCGGCTGTGTCCTAAACCAGGACCCAAGATAAAAAAAAATCAGTGGCAGAATCAGTACGTGAAAGTACCGTGCCTTGTATATCCCCTACAATGTTAATTTTAAATAATGCAGGACAGAAAAGCCCGTTTTCTCTTGGTCTCTAGTGTTAATTAGATAAACGCCAACTTCACTAAGCCTGCTTAAATTCAAAGGCCTCTGAAAGTGTGAAAAAAAGGGAAACATTTGCAAGTCAGCTCCTTGGAAAATAGATTATTAAAACACACGGAAATAGGAAGGTTCCCATTGGGTATGGGGCTCGCTAAGCCTTGAACAAATCATTTAATCTTTTCGAGCTTCAATTTCCACATATGTATAATGGACTAAACCTTCCCTACCCAGTTTACTTCGTTCCACAAATATTTACTGTGATACCACACAATGTAATGGTACACAAACGTTTACGTTTACAAATATCACCAGTACTGATAGCACTGAGGCATCTCTAACCGTTTGGCGCCCCCTCGGCGTCGTTAATGCAGTCTCCCGCCTGTCGCGGTGAGGTCGGGCTTCTTCCAGCAAAGTTTCCGGATCCCTGGCGCAGAGAACACAGAGTCAATGGCGGGCCACACCCCAGCGGGAAGGAAATGCAAAATGCAAAGGGGACCAAAGCAAAAACCAAATTCACTCCGGTGCAGTCGGATTCGACTCAAAGTGCAAATGAATTTGAGGCAAAGCCAATAGCTGCAGACCAAAGCTGCAACACACTGCCGCAGAGACCACCTCCCGGAGGAGAAGAGCCCGGAGGGAAATTGCCCTATTCCGGCTATCTCTGCGTCTGCGCACGACGGCTCGTTGCAGAGACCAAACTTAGTGGGCGGAAGAGCAACGCGCGTCTTCTCAGCTTCCCATCACTGGGCAAGGTGGCGTTCTGGAATCTGCAGCGGGTCGCTAACAGGTGCGGGATGGAGCGGGAAGGCGGCAACCGCAGTCTCTTCTTCCGCGGTCTCCAGAACCGCTCCCACGAGAAGATAAAGCTGCGAAAGAGAAAATCAGTCTTATACCTCAGTGCCCAGGAGGCAAGCGCCGGACACCGCTGGGGTGAGAGATGGGGTGCAGATGCCGAGCCCAGAGGCAGTGGCGGGAAGCCACGGAGTTTGCACGAGGGCTCTATCTGCCGGGTGGGTTTGCCAAGAGATGGCAATACGCTCGTAATAGAATTCTCCATCACTGAAGCTTACGTGGCGCTTTACTTTGCATTATTTTATGCAGTCCCCTCAGCGGGCAGTGTGAAGTGAGTCGGCATGATGTGGCTATTCCCATTTTAGGGATGGGGCACCGAGGACAGGAGTTACCCTAAATTACGCAGCTACAGAGGAGCGGAGACTTGGAACGGGACCAAATCTGACTTCTGCCCCCATTGGTTTTTCCAGCCGCCTGGAGTGCCTTCTGTTTAATCCAGATGTGGTGCTGATCGGAGAAAAGTTATCCCAGGAAGTGAGATTTTGATCTGTCAGAGCGGTAATTTAGTATAAAGACCAACTTCTCATTCATTCAGTAAATATATATTGAGCTCCTTCTGTGCCAAGCACTTCTGGAGGGGTATGAAAAGAATGCCCAGTTTCTCCTCTGGAAACCTGCCATCCAGAAAGGGTAGAATAATTTTGTTAAGTGAAAAGTGAGGGAGGAACAGTGGTTGCGGCGGGGAAGGCACCTGGGCCGGAGCTAGCACCCTCTGTTCCCGTAACGCACCAGAAGTTGGATCCGGTCAGGGAAAGGATAGTAACGACAGTAAATACAACCGTGCTTGTGCAGATAAACCTTTAGGTATTCAAGCTCAGTTGTTCAAGGGCTTGTTCTGAGTAGTGTTTCATCCGTCTGAATCCACACTGTAAAAGGGGAAAAAAGAAAACAAAATTTTTTTGGGAGCAGGAAAATAAATGGGGGTTTTTATTTTTCCTTGTTTCTAGAAGATGAAAATTCGGATGGGGGCATTTATGTGGTGTTGAGTACGCCAGTTGTCTGAGGCACATAATGTGTGTTTGTGGAGCATAAGAGAGTGGTTGGAATCCACAGTGGTAGCAAAATCTAACAGTCTATCAGAGGCAGGTTGCAAACTCAAATAACCAGGACACTGGGCCAGAAAAAAAAAAATCCAAACTCCATCGAGTGATTCCAACTCATAGTGACCCCATAGAACAGAGTACAACCGCCCTCCATAGGGTTTCCAAGGCTGTAAAGCTTTATGTAGTGGATAAGGCATTTAGCTGCTAACCAGAAGGCTGGTGGTTCAAACGACCAGCTGCTTTGCAGGAATAAGGTGAGGCAATCTACTTACATAAAGATTTACCATCCTGGAAACCCAGTGGGGGTCACTATGAGTCAAAATTGATTCCATGGCAGTGAGTTTTTAAAAAGAGCTCTGGTGGTGTAGTGCCTAAGGCACCTGACTGCTAACCAGGTTTGTGTTTCAAACCCACCAGCTACTCTGCAGAGGGAAGACTGGGCAATCTACTTCCGTAAAGATTTACCACCTGGGAAACTCAAAGGGAGTCATTATAAGTCAGAATTGACTCAATGGCAGTAAATTTAGTTTTTTAAAAAAGGTTTATGGAAGCATCCCGCCTCATCTTTCTCACGCAGAGCAGCTGGTGTGTTCTAACTGCCCACCCTTTGGTTAGGACCTTTAACTACTGCACCACCAGACCTCCTGAGGACTGCAGACAGGCAAAGTTAAATAAGAGAAGCTGCCCAGGAGCTCTTGCCCTATCCAAAGGGGGCAGCCTATATTTAAATACCAGCCAGATGTTGCCAACTGAGCTTTTTATTTCAAAACCTTAAACAGTTTTGAAATGCTGGAAATTCAGAAATATAAAATCGAACATTTAAATGTTGGAAATTAAATTCAAATTTTAAAAACTAAACTATATTCAGCCTATAGATGGTCTATTTACCATTAAGAGTAATAAGGACTTTGGAGTGCACAGACGGACCTGGGTTTCAATCCTGTTTTTGTTATTTACCAGCTTTTTTACTTTGGACAAGACAATTTAACTTCTCTGAACTTCAGTCTCCTCATATGTAAAGTAGGGCTAATAATGCCTAAAGGTTGGCAATTCTGCATACAGCAGTATTATAGAAGAAATGCCTGTTAATCTGCTTCCTTTAAGATTACAGCCAAGTACAACTATTGGTCTCTACTCATCTGGAACAAATGAGAAAGAAAGAAACCAAAGACTCAGAGAAGAAAGTAGTCTATAGGATTAATAGTCTACATGAACCACAGCCTCATCTACCCCGAGACCGGAACTAGATGGTGCCACGGCTACCAGTACAGATCATTTTGATCAGAGCCACAATGGATGGATGTTGACAGGAGGAAAAAATGTGGAACAGAACTCAACTTCTTAAAAAGTCCACAATTACTGGACCAGTTGAGTATAGGTGACTTCCTGAGACTGTCACCCTGAGATACTTTTTAAACCTTAAATTGAAATCATCCTTTGAGGACACCTTTTTTTAAATAACATATTGGCCCATAAAATAAAGAGTAATAAAGTTCTTTAAAATATCATCTATAGGAGGACAAGTAGTCAGAAATTACTGTAAAACAAAGATTAAAAAGTGAAGGGGCAGTAAGGGCTGTTGTTGTTAGCTGCCATTGAGTCAGCCCCTACTTATAGTGACCCTGTGTACAAAAGAACAAAACACTTCCCGGTCTGTGCCAGCCTCACAATCCTTGCTATACCTGAGCCCATCGTTACAGCCACTGTATCAGTCCATCTCATTGAGGGCTGTGGCAGTTAAATTTGTATGTCAACTTGGCTGGGCCTGGTTGAGTGGCTGGGCAGCTGGTGGTAGTTATTCCCCATGATGAGACTGGCAATCAACTCCATGGTGGGATCTACCACAAGCAGCTGAGTAGCTGCCTTTGGAATGTGGTCTGCTTCTATATACAAGAAGCCTTGGGGTAGTCTCTAGCTTATGGCATGCTTGAACCCTGCGTGTAGCCATGTCTTTGTTCAGTAGCCTGCCATGTTCTGCTGACCTGGGGACTTAACAATGAACTTAAATTAATGGCCTGCCATGTGGTTTGGTAACATCAGGACTGTGCCTTTTTACTTGTCAACCTTGGGTTTGTCAGCCTCAGCAGCCAGCAGCTGTCTGAGTGAAGAAATGCCTCTAGCTCCAGTGGGCCGGGAGCAGGAGGTAGAGCTGGACCCCAGGTTTGAGGGACTTTCACCCAGCCCCTAGAGCCTGGCACTTTGAACTTGGACTTAAAGCCTCCAAACTGTAGGAGAAAAAACTCCTGTTTGTTCAAGCCATCCCATTTGTGGTATATTCTTGTCAGAGCAGCACTAGGTAACCAGAACAAGGGCCTTCCCCTTCTTAGCTGACCCTCTGCTTTATCAAGCATGATAAACCTCTCCAGGGAATGGTCCCATCTAACAACATGACCAAAGTAGGTGAGACGAAGTCTGGCCATTCTTGCTTCCAAGGAGCATTTCGGCTGTACTACTTCCAGGACAGATTTGTTAGTTCTTCTGTCAGTCCGTGGTACTTTCGGTATTCTTTGCCAACACTACAACTCAAAAGCATCAACTCTTCTTTGGCCTACCTTATTCATTGCCCAGCATCACATGCATATGAGCCTACTGAAAACACCATGGCTTGGGTTAGGCACAAGTTAGTCTTCAAAGAGATGTCTTTGCTCTTCAGCATTGTAAAGAGGTCTTTTTGGTAGCTTTGCCCAGTGCAGTACATTGATTTCTTGACTGATCCTTCCACTGGTGTTGATTGTGAATCCAAGTAATATGAAATCTTTGACAACTTCAATCTTTTCTCCATTTATTGTGATGCTGCTTATTGCAGGAAAACTAGAATACTGGAATGGTACAACCAGAATGAACTGGAGAATGATGATACATTGTAAAAAATGTAACCAATATCACTGAATAATATGTATAGAAATTATTAAGTGGGAACTATATTTTCTATGTAAAATTTCATCTTAAGCACAATAAAATATTATTTAAAAAAAGATTACCACCAACTAACCCATATAGAGCAGTTCTATTCTATAACAAATGGAGGCATCATAAGTAAAAATCAACTTAGTGGCAACAGGTTTGGGGTTTTTTTGGTTTGCCCTACTATTGAGGATTAAATGAGATAATGAACATCGAGGGATTAACACAGTGCCTGGCATATTGTAAGCATCAATAAAACCTATTTAAAAAGGTACAGAGAACCACTTTACATGCCACTATCAAGAAAGTTGTTTTTTAAGTTAGTAAGCAACTTTTGTATTTTGTTAGCTGGTTTATTTCACTAAATATACATATAGGATAATCTGAGGCTTTAATTAACCCAGTCTCTTTCAATATTTAGCTTAATATTATCTTTATGTAATAAATTGCATGAAAGATTGGTTAAACAGAAGGAGGGGTAGTGGTGAGGTTCACCCAGTGGTGAGGTTCTAGCCCTGGTATAACTCTGAGCCCATGTCTCCGTTGGGAGTGGGGTGGAAAGCCTAGATTCCTCTACCATACTCTATCATGAGCAAGGGGCCAACCAGAGCAGAACGATGTAAGTTATGCCAAGTGGACCTTGCTGGCCTTTATACACCACAACTACCTGTTTTGTTTTTCAGATCTTCTTGGTGAAAACATTTATCTGGTCTTGTTTACCATAGCTCTAAGAATATTTAATTGCTTTTTAGTACAGACAAGTTTTGTTCCAGATGAATATTGGCAATCTCTTGAAGTTGCACATCACATGGTTTTCAAATATCCTTTGTCATTTCTTTTTAACCTAGGAATATATATGTATCTTTCGAATTGTGTTCAGTCTCTATTGCATATTTTCAATCCATTTTCCATATTTTCTCTAAATACATTTGAACTCAAGGAATGCCATATTTTATGCTAGTATTCCTTCTGTATCTTTCTTTTATATTAGTATACCCAGTTTAGCCTTTAACTAGCATCCCTCCAGTGCTCAGTGGTATGGAGAATTACAGGCAAAGGAGAAAACACATTTCTGCCTTTAAGAAATTAAGAATGTAGTTGAACAACTGGCATTTTTATTTCAAATATCCAGTATAAAATGCCTACGTATTTTAATGGTTCATTTTCAAAAATAAAATAATGTTTTACACATGGAAATGAAAACAGGTTTTGTTCAATACTATTTGAAATATGATCCTTAATATTACTAATTATGGCTATTTGACCTGGGAATGGACAGAAAGATTGAGGGGTTACACTTACCCCTTAATCTTTGCAAGCATTTATAAGATTCTGGATCTCTTGGAGAAAGATAGTGTTCAGATGCTGGTAAGTTTAGATAAAAGTAATTTAAATAATTGTTAAAAGTTGATTTATTCAATCCTTTTTCGAAGATTAATGTACATTAACTACAAGATATTATTGGTACCATGAAGTTTGTTTTTCAAAGGTTACTGCTGTTAAGATCCGGCCATATCTGAGAAGATTATGGTTTCAAAGACATGCTGTGGTGAATAATTCTCGAATAAAACTAAAACATGAGATTGAGCATGAGTGTCCTGCCGAAGGAATCCCATGCAGATTTTAAGAATGACTACATTTTATATTAGTGATTTATTTAAACTTTAGTTTACTTGCTTTATAAACAAATTACTTGAGAGCAGTGTTTTTGTTTTTTTTAACTTGTGAGTAGTTACATGAACTTGTAAAGAATAAATACATATAAACCCACACAGGATTTAGTGTTGAAATAAAAACTTAGGAGAAAATTAATCTGGCAAAAATTTAACAATATGCATCATCATGCTATGTAGTATTTGGAGTCCTTGAGTGACACAGACCGTTCGCGCTTGGCTACTAATCGAAAGGTTGTACACATGGGGTCACCAGGTGTTGGAATACCCTTGACAGAGCATGTGTCTCTGGGGTCATTTGCTGGGAGAGAGTATGAATTGATGCAAAAGTTTGTAACTTTAATCTCAGGATTCTTTAAACTTTCATCAAGTTGGATCCAGAAATATAGGCCTTCTCACTTTTTCTTTTAGGGAGGGCTGGTAGAAGTGGTTCTACAGGCCAAAAGGAGTATAAATCCTGAGATATTTTTGGGGTGTGGAAAGGCACTGGGGTTCTGGGACATGTTTTAAGGCAGGGTTGTACGGATGATATTTGATTCTTCATCACTGAGAAGCAGGGAAACGTGCTTCACATGGGAAGATGATGGGGATGGAGAATTTAGAGCAGTAGCAGAGTTTCTCCCATTGACAGGTAGATCTAAGGACCAGTGAACTCTCTTTTCTCCCCTCAGGGTTACCTACTAGTTTCTAGATTATACAGAGTACAGGTAGTCCCCAGGTTAGGAATAAGATCTGTTCCTGTGTGTCTTTAAGTCAGATACATAGGTAAGTCAGAACAGGTGCATACAGTTCTTATTTAGAGTTATTGAAAAAAAAAAAAAAAAGGCTTTCAGTGATTTAAAAGGTGAATGTGCAACAAGTGAAGGTGGTTGTAATGAAGAATTTGTTGTGGGTAGGGGTTGGTTCAGTCATTTCAAAGTGAGAACAACTTTACCTAACATTAAAGGGCAAGTACAAGTAAGTTAACTTGGATGTTTGTAATCTGGGACTGCCTGTGTTCAAAAAAGTCTGGATCCATAAGTAAATATACATATTTATATACAATATATCCCAAGAAGTAGGTTAGATTATGAATGAAGGGTCCTTTAAGAGAGTCAGAAAAACTTGCTATTCAAATAATCCAGGATTTATCCACTGCCCTCAACCTATAGCTGAACCACCTGGCTATTGTGTGAACCAAAGTAAACTGCCCCTCCCCACATACTTCCATCCAAAAAAAGACCTCTGCCCTACTGGAACTTGACCAGGTAGAGATTCATTAAGATGTCATAAGTCTGTCATTCATACTCTGCATTGTTTATCTTAAACATAGATTATATATTTTTGAAGCTAGTAGAGGCCAGAGAAGTGAAGTAAATAGACCAAGGTCATAGCGTTTTAATAGCACTAGAACTAGGTCCTAGGTCTACTTACTCATAGCCTAGTACTCTCCACAGATAGCTTCCCTCTGAACTACATAAGGTTTTTGCACAGAATAGGAGATGGTCACTGTCCAATATGGTAGCCACTAGCCCATGTGGTTATTAAACACTTGAAATGTGCATAGTCCAAACTGAGAAGTGCTATTAGTGTAAAATACATACTGGATATCAAAGACTAAGTATTAAAAAAATAAAATATTTTTATATTGATTAAATGTTTGAAATAAAATTTTGGGTTAAAAAATAATTGAAATTAATTTTACCTTTTTTGTTTTTACTTTTTTAATGTGGCTACCATAAAATTTTATATGTGGCTCACAGTATATTGCTGTTGTACGGTGCTGGCCTAGAGTATATGATGGGAAAGAGGGAGAAAAGGGGAGACCTGAATGGGGAACCACAGCAGGGGCTTTGAAAAATCAGAGGACAGTACAAGGCATTTGGCTCTTGGAGCCTAAGGGAAGAATCAGGAGTTTAAAGAACAGGAGCATAGAATAGAATGGTAAAATAGCAGCACAGACTTATATTCAAGGTTTACCCAGGCATATTCCATATTCTTTTTACCCCTCCCTACTATTCATTTCCTAGAAGCCATGTGCAACTATTGTTTAATTCTAATCAGGTCCTTACTACAGCCTGGAAAATTATGGTATCTTAAAGTTTGGAGAGACTGCTCATGACTGTTGTTGTTGTTATGTGTGTCGAGTCAGACCCTACTCATAGCGACCCCTCCTTGGGTTTCCGAGGCAGTATCACTATGGAAGTAGATTGCCCCATCTTCCTTCCAAGCAGTGGCTGATGGGTTTGAACCACCAGCCTTCTGGTTAGCAGTCAAGTGCCTTAGGCACTATGCTACCAGAGCTCCTTGCTAATGACTAGGAGTTCACAATTCCAGTTTGTGTTTGTGTGTGTGTGGGTTCAGTTAAAATCTACCTTCTTTTGAATTCAAGATTTCTACAAGACATCCCTTCAAAAAGTCTTCTTTACCCAATCTATAAATCTGTACATTTAAATATCAGTCATAAATACTGTCCTTTAGACATCTTGTAATTTGTTAATATCCATCTTAAATTGCATGCCATCAAGCTGAACATGATACTGAAGATTAGGGTAACTAGTTCAGAGTAGAGTTGGATCATTAACTTCATAACTACTATACTTCTGTAATGTGTAAGGATTCCTTACCATTTTAGTACCTATCCCATATTGCTGGCTCATAGTTAGTTTACAGCCAAGTTGATTTCATGTGAGTTACTTTCAGGGGGCCTAGAAGGTAAGGGTGAACCTTAAAGGTAGCTATGCAGAATAAACAGAAGGTATGTACAAAATTGCCTTTCACTGTATGTTACAGGGCACACTAACTGGAATTATGAAGTACAGGGTACCTTTAACTCTAACATTGAAGTATTTATTTACAAATCATTTGTAAAGAAAAGGAACATAAAGCTGAAGTGTTAGAAGCCAATGATAGTTGAAATAAAGCAGCTCTAGTTAGTGTAATGAAGTTTGATTCAACAAAAATATAAATTTATATATAAATTTTTAGAAACACATCTCTTGAATGATTCAATTGTACTCTACCAGAAGTATTACTTTGTTACTGATAACTATGATTTTTAAAACTCTCAAGATCCTGATTTCTAACGCCAATTATAATACATTTACTCCATGTCATCTGAATACCATATTTCTATAATTTTAGAATACTTGTAATTTTTTAAAAAAGTCACATTATTTTTTTAGTCAGGGGTGGCAGTGTAGCTTGGCAGTTAAGAGCACAGGCTTTAGAGGGAGGCATATGTGGGTTTGAAGCCTGGCTTCCACATACTAACTAGCTGTGCAGCCTTGAGAAAATTATTTAAACTCTTTGTGCCTCAATTTGCTTATCTGTAAAACAGGAAAAAAAATAGTACCTACATCATAGGATTGTCAAGAGGATTAAATGAGTGAGGTAATATATAAAGAACTTAGAATGATACCTGACACATTGATTTAAAAATTACCTATTGTTATGCTAATGACTAAATGTGCTTCTAACAATTTCAACACAGTGAAACTGTTTGCTGGTTAAATAGTAGTGTTGTAATATACATACATAGAGAACGGCAAAATTGTGTTGGGTATTTCCATCAGAATTTAATAAAATCCTTATAGAAAAACATCTCTTTTTGCAGAAGAACAGACCTATGTCTATTTTTGTACTGAGAAAGGATTTTAGTTAATAGTTGGACAGCTTGTTGATACTTATAAAAAATTCAGTGTGAACCAACAGACACTTTGGTTAGTATATTTTCTTTCTTTCTTTTTTTGTTAACTATTGAAGATTTGGGTTCCTAGACTTGTACAAGCACTACTGTCAGCTATAGCAGATGTGAAGCTTTACTCATTAATGAAGCAACTGGAAAATCAGGAGGTAGCAAGATGTGTGGTAAGTTCTAAACACTGTAGATAAACTATATGCTAGTTACTTCATTTCTATGGGTATGAAACACATGGAAGAATATTCACATTCCAAAAACAATTTCAGAAGATAATTCATTAACCGTTATAGAGGTGCTTTCATAATTAAGAATGGTAAAATGCAAATGGCACATGCCTATCTTTCCTTATTGAGCTCTTGGTTGCAGAAGCCACTGATGCCCTCAAATTTATTAGAGGCTCTGACAGCATAGTGCCTAAGGCACTTGACTGCTAACCAGAAGGCTGGCGGTTCAAACCCACCAGCCACCCCTGGGATGGAAGGTTGGGCAATCTACTTCTGTAGTGATACTGCCTCGGAAACCCATGGAGGGATCACTATGAGTTGGGTCCAACTTGAAGGCACGTAACAACAAACTCTAAGAGACAGTCTTTGGAAGTCCTTTCACTCCTCAAAACTGTCAAAGTTTTTGCCTCACCTTCTGTAAAATTCAATAGGAATAGTTTAACTCACTGCCTACCTCACAAAGCACCTCAGCTATTTACAACCCCTGTTCACTATTAAGGAGCGAAAAAGAAGTGGCAGTCTGCTTCAGAAAAGATTACAGCTCTGGAAACCCTAAGGGACGGTTCTGCTCTGTCCAGTAGGGTCACTATGAGTTGGAATTGACTTGACAGCAACACATGTTTTGTTGTTTTTGTTTCTGGTTCATTACTACTCTAACAGTTTGAGGCTCAGGGAGAGAAACATCTTTTCCCTGAAACCAGTTCTAGTAGAATGTTTGAAACAACTGAACTCATGTAATAGAATGTAGCATAAAAGACTGTTGCCATTTGGCTTATTTCAAGGTACAGAGAGAGGGTTCTGACATCACTGGTTCAAATTTCAAATGGATTCTTCCATTTAAGAGTGCATTGGAAGTACTAATGTTACTTCACTTTTGGCTCTTTCCTAAATTAAACAGGCTTGTATGAGCCAAGTGAGAAATCCTACTACCTTTTTAATACTGTTTTTATTGAAAAATACATTCCAAATTCCAATTAACCAATTTACCAACACATTTCTGGAGTATAATTTATTAATAAATTAAAAACAGGAGGTACGTCTGCAAGTAGTGTATTTATTTGTGTTAAAAAGAAAAACAGATTGCTTTTGGGAGCTCTGGTGACGTAGTGCAAAGCATTTGACTGCTAACCAGAAGGCTGGTGGTTCAAACCCACCAGCCACTCCTCAGAAGAAAGACGGGGCAATCTACTTCTGTAGTAATGCTGCCTCAGAAACCCAAGGAGGGGTCACTGTGAGTTGGATCAATTCAATGACAGTGAGTTTGATATTGGTTTTAGCGATAAAGCTCTGGCTAATTAAGGGATAAAGTCAATCTTTTTATTTTGTTCTTATATTTTACATACATTGTCCTTCTGCTGAAGACTTAACCAAAAATTGTAGGCAAAGGGTACGCAGTCCCTTTCCAATCCTTCCTCCAAAGTAGCAGCACTAGGTTCTTCTAATTTAGAAAAAGTCTTTAGCTGGAAATGGTTAACAATTTTTAAAAGCTGTATTTGAAGAGAGAGAAAACTAGTGCCACATACTTAACAGCCTTGCACCAACTAACAAGTTTATTTTGTTTTGGAAACTTAATGATGCTTCTGTTTGCATGTTTTTTATTTAAAAAAAAAACCTGGCATATTTAGCCAATTTCCAAATTAAAATTTAATGTTTCCTAACAGTCATTGTTCTCTTTTCTTCTCCTATTCTATTGTTATTTTTCATCAAGAAGTAGGACAGCATTCCAAACCAAGGTCACTGAGAAGTTTAATTTAAAAAATAAAAAAATAAAAAATACTTTTGTCAGAATGTAAAACAATTTGAGGACACTGACTAGGAGATTCGTCATGAATTTTAATCCTCTGTAAAATCAAAGAATCTGTGTTTTACATCTTTCATTAGTAGCAACTAAAATTTAAATCAAATGTGATGTCAATAAAATCCATGTGAAAGTATAAACTGCTTAATATCAGCAAATATAAATCTGGTATTATCATAAACTATGTTTGATATAACTTCTTTAAAATGATGTTTAGACATGTCTACTTAACTTTTAACATTCATTTACCTTTTTATGTGGTTTTTGCAACATTAAGAATTGTTCGCTATTTTCCATAGAAGGGCATAATGTTTAAGCTATTCCATTTCCTAGTCCATGCATATTTGCTCATAATTGTTCTTAGTTTTTTTGCCAGTTGTGCTCTTGGTTCACATGGTATTGCTGTACCAGAACTCTCACAAATACCTTGGAAACAGTTCTCACTATCATTGCTCTTTTCTACTATCCTTTGGAAGGTTCAAAGTCTATTAACAGGTGAGATATATTGTTGTTAATAATTATATACAAGATGTTAAAGCATGCTTTTGAAAATCTTGAATAGCAACATACTGTAATGTATAATAGTCTTCCTAATGTTTATGAAGGTTATAGGAACTACAGATTTTCAGCTGATACATTTATTACCAAAAACTAAAAAAAAAACAAACTTAGTGCCATCAAGTCGATTCTGACTCATAGAAATCCCCTTTGGGTTTCCAAGGCAGTAAATCTTTACAGAAGTAGATTGCCTAGTCTTCCTTCCATGGAGTGGCTGGTAGGTTTGAACCACCAGCCTCTGATTAGCAGTCAAATGCCTTAGGTACTATGCCACCAGAGCTCATTTATTACAGCATTATTACAGCAGGAATCATATAACACATTCAAACTAGGTAATTTCACTGCCGTTGAGTTGGATCCAATTCAGCGACCCTTCCTTGGGTTTCTGAGGCGGTATCAGTACAGAAGTAGATCACCCAATCTTCCTTCCGAGGAGTGGCTGGTGGGTTTGAACTGCCAGCCTTCTGGTTGGCAGTCAAATGCCTTAGGCACTACACTACCAGAGCTCCCAAACTAGGTAATTAAGGAAATTTTAATAAAATAATTATTTACAAAGATACAGATAGGTGTTTAGAGAAGTCAATGAGAGGATAATATAGTATCCCAGGGCTAATCATAGCAGGGAGTCTCTATTACCCCTTGGCTCAGGGCAAGGGAAGGGAACTGTTACTAGAATCCAAAGAGAGAGTTGTAAGAGAGGACCCCCAACAGGAGACTGACACGACCAGCCTTTAGTGGCAGCAGAGAGCTAGGGAAGACTTGACTCTCCTTGTCTTTCCAATTAAGTGAAGCCACTCATAAGCTGTAAAGCAAAGCAGCCCATTGATGCAATCCATACAGGTCAGCCTCCCTGGAAATAGAGAGGTGAAGAATGAATCTGGAAAGGCAAAAAGAAAACATATAGCACAGTACAGATTGGGGAACCAGATTGGGCTTGTATAAATTGAGGAAGGAAAGGGAACAAATAATGGCACAGAACTGTGAAAGTGCTTTGGTATATTCAGGGCAAGTTGTCTGTTCAGTAGCTAGAATGTGGTAGGTTGCATGGGAGAAGAGAAAAGTGAGGGATGAAGCTGAAATGGAACTTTGCTCTTCTCTAGAATTTGGTGGTAGGGAAATATTGGAGGCTTCTGAGAAGCGTAGCATAATCAAATCTGATTTATAAAGAATTCTCTTGTAATAGAAGTTTTTAAGGATATACTAAAAGAGAAAGCCCGAATTTCAAATGTAGCTAAGAAAATAGTATCCATTTATTAAGTTACCTCAGTGATAAAGACTTTATTATAAATGCTATGGAGTCCCTGAGTGATACAGACAGTTAATGTACTCAACTGCTAACCAAAAGACTGAAGGTTCAAGTCCACCTCGAGCCACCTTGGAAGATACACCTGGCTATCTACTTCTGAAAAATCAGCCACTGAAAACCTTTTGGAGCAGTTCTACTCTCACACACATGGGGTCACCATAAGTCAGAATCAACTTGACAGCAACTAGTTTTATTATAAGATAATAAGTGAAAATAAGTAAAAATGGGCATCTGAGCCTAGGCCTAAAAGAAAACTCTCAGCCACACAGAGGAAATGGAAGATTGCTCAGAATCCAAGGCAGTTCTGGGGAGTGGGTTGTTTTGTTGTGCCTTTATAGCCCCAAGAGTCTATGCATCCCTCGTTTAGTCTTCTATCATTGCCCAACTTTCTCTTTACCTCACATTCAATTTGAGGAGCTTGGATTAGGTCTCTTAAATATCATCATGCCTATTTAGGCATAGCTTTCACATTGGCCAGCCTCAGACTTGCTGCCTGGGCTCAGGTACCTTCTCTGATTCAATCAGCAGGGAAGGGTCATGAGTACAAAACCAGGTATTACCTACTATATATAGCACTACTATATAAGCATTCCTCCCTACATAAAGCATGACAAATACTATTCCTACTCTGAATTAAATAACTTTTTACAAATTTCTTCAAAAATGTGATATTATAAATAGAAGTTTATTAGAAATGAAAATATAAATGAAAGGATGGAAACCCTTAGACTACCTTAGCATTGATTTCTGTAAAACAAAAATAATAAAATGGCTATCATAAGAATTAAATGAGAATCTATGTAATGTATATATCATAAAGTAAGTGTTCAGTAAGTATTGGTGATAATGATGATCATGATAATGTTAAGTAAAGGAATATTTTGGGCAATTAAAAAAAAAAAAAAAGACAACAACAGATTCCATACAAGTGACAGGGCTTGATATAAAATGACAGGAATGGGAAAGAAGCAAAGTACAAGTATGGAATAAAAAGTTGTTTAAGGTGACTCCAAAGTTTTAAGGCCGAGAAAATAAGTGATAGAATTAACTTAAATAACAGACACTGAACAAGTTAAAAGGAAAATCTGTGGAGTTTGAGACACTCAATTTGAGTGCCAGTAAGAGATCTGTTGAAGTTGTCAAGGATTTCATTTTACTTAGATCCACAATCAACTCCCATGAAAGAAGCAGTCAAGAAATCAAACAACAAATAGCATTGGGTACATCCACTGCAGAAGACCTCTTTAAACTGGTAAAAAGCAAAGACATCACTTTGAGGACTAAGGTGTGCCTGACCTAAGCCATGGTATTTTCAGTTGCTTCATATCCATGTGAAAACTGGACAATGAATAAGGAAGATCAAAAAATTGATGCAATTGAATTATGGTGTTGGTGAAGAATATTGAATGTACTGTAAACTGCCAGAAGAAAAAACAAATCTGTCTTGGCAAAAGTACACCCAGAATGCTCCTTAGAAGTAAGCAAGGCTTTGTCTCATGAACTTTGGACATGATATCAGGAGGGACCAGTCCTTGGAGAAGGATATCATGTTTGGTAAAGTAGAGAGTCAGTGTGATAGTTAGAGTTGTGTGTCAAGTTGGCTGGACCACAGTTCTGTGTGGTTTAAGCAGTTGTGATTATTCCCATGATGAGATCAGATGTATATGTTTTGAGCAGCCAATAGTTGAAAGGGAGTTTCCCTAGAGGTGTGGCCTGCTTCCAATATATATATATATGGACATCTTGGGAAAATGAGAGGCTCTTCTGTGGATCGGGATCCTGTTGTGCTACCTACAACTGTCTGTGAGTGAACAATCCACCATTTGGCCTGAAGATCTCAGGTTCATCATCTGTCAGCGTCAACAGCCAGTATACTGCTTGCCAACCTTGAGCTTATCAGCCCCTGCAGCTGTGTGAGTTGTGAAAAGCTTCCAGTTTGACGTTTGATCCAGGATCTTGGGACTTGCCAGCTTCTATAAGTGTGTGAGCCATTTTACTAAGATAAATCTCTCTCTCTCCTGCAACAGTGGGCTCAAATATAGCAGTGATTTTGAGGATAGCTCATGACTGGGCAGTGTTTTGTTCTTTTGTGCGTAGGCTTGCTATGAGTGAGAATTGACTTGACGGCACCTGACAACAGCAACAAAATGGATCTATGTAGAAATAATCATAAGAAGTCAGAAATATAAATCTGAAATGTTGGAGTGAGGTTGGGACTAGAAAATAGATATTTGGGAGTCTTCTCTGTAGTTTTACTATAGCAGAAGTTGCAGTTAGGCTGCCTGAAAGTCATACCAACCCACAGATAGGCTGTATTTCACCTGTACAGTGTTTTTATAAGAAGTAAGCTACTTGGCAAATTTTTAAATTGGGAGATTTCACAGAAAAATCTGCTTTTCTGGTTTCTCTTAAAAAATTGGAAGACCAATTGTACTGTCCAGGTTATCCCAGCCTGCATCACTCATTTTTATTACCTGCCTGGTCCCTATAAGCATCTGAGTTTAATCCCTGCTCTTACATCGTCAACAACAATAGGTACTTCTTTACAGTTATTTATTTTTACTGGTTAATAGGTATATACTGGTACCATAAGAGGAGCTCTGGTGGCATAGTGCCTAAGGCATTTGACTGCTAACCAGAAGACTGGTGGTTCAAACCCACCAGCCATGCCTCGGAAGATTGGGCAATCTACTTCTGTAGTGATACTGCCTCAGAAACCAAGGAGGGGTTGCTGTGAGTCAGATCTGACTCTACAGCAGTGAGTTTGGTGGTGGTTTTTTTTTTTTTTTTTGGTACCCATAGGGTTGTTTTATTTTATTTTCTCATAATTACTAACAGAGTTAATATTTACTGTCTATAATTATCAAATCATCTATTTCAGCTATTTATTGAGGAAAGTCTCATTAATAAAAACCCACATTTCTACCCATGATCATATAGTTTTTTTAGTAGGTGTTTGTTGTCAGTTGTACATATAAATCCTTTAATTGGATAAAATTAGCAATTTACTTTTAAAACAAAATTATATATACTCAGAAACCTATCATTGCCTAAGTAATCCTAATGTTTCTTTTTTTTTTTTTCCTTAGGAAAAGATTACATGAGACTTTATTGTAATTCCTTAGAATGAGAGTTGATCCTTTTTTCCAAAAGAAAAGCAATTTACCAGAGTTTTATGTTTAAAAGTTTGCATACTTTTCATCAAGTGAGACCAAAAATAAGACAAAGAACAACCTCTTATATGCAAATACAGATTTAGTAATTAGAGCTTGGAAATACTTTAGATACACCTCTTTTTAACAAATGAGAAAAAAATTTAAGACCCTGAAAGTTTAAGTATTGTGTCCAAGTTCATACAGCTTTTTATACCAAAAGGAATATGCTCTCATTTTTTAAAAAAATTAATCACAGTAGAAATAGCAGGTAAGCTCTAAATTCATTTTCCAGTTGTTTTGACAACATATTTCTTTTGTTTGTAGAGTCAAGTACTCATCCCTGGTGGCACTTGCCTTCGTAATTCGTCCCACAGCTATCATTCCATGGATGCCTTTACTCTTCAGGCATTTCTGGCAGGAACATAGAAAGGTTGATCTTATTCTACATAATTTTTTACTTGTAGGGTAAGTATGGCTATAGTCCATTTATTAATGACTCAAATTATAGATACTGAACAAGGCCTTGCACATATCAATTATTCTATCTTTTAAAGTCAGTAAGAACTATCAGTTGAAGGAAACAGAAAATCTCCCAAATTTGATTTTCATCTGCTGTGATCTGGACTAATTAAAAATATTTTAATTTGCTTAGATAGGTTTGTGTGTGTGTGTGTATGTAGCAATTATTTTTAACTTAGGACTTTCCTATGTTTTATTTCTTAAATACATTTTAGAGATACTTAATTCTTTTATATTTGTATAGGGCTTTATAGTTTATAATATGTTTTCATATATTACCTTGTGATTTTCACAATTCTTAGATCTAAGCAAAACAGTATTTTTTATTTTGTAGAAGAGGAAACTGGGGGCTTGAAGAAATTACATTAAATTAGCCAGAGTCACTGGGTTGGTTGCTATGATGGAACTAGGATTGAAACTCAGGTCTTTTATACTATGAGCTCCTAGTATCAGCGTTATCTCAAGTAACTAGTAAAGTATCCAAAATAATTCTTTATTGAAGAGATGAATGAATTCTGACTCTTAGAACAGTGATCTTTCTTTTTTTTTTTTTAGAGCAATGATCTTTTTAATAATACTGTTATTGGCTCTGCACGTGCATTTTCCTGGTAGCAGTTTAAAAGGACTAAATTATCTTTGATTAATATGGCTAAGTTGCTACTCAGTTAATATGGCTAAGTTGTTGTCAATTCTGATTTATTAACACTCTCTTAAATGTCTTCAGTCAGCAAATATTCATGTGTTCCTACTATGTGCCATGCACTGTTCCAGATGTTGGAGATAGCAATTTAAAAACAAAGTCCCTGCTTTAATGATACTTACATTCTAATTAGAGCAGAGAGACCACTGACAGGATTAGAGTAAATATGTATTTGTCAAGTGATGATAAATACTAGAGAAAAAAATAATGTGGGATAAGGAAGATAGCATGCAAGTATAGGGGATATCTAAAAGTATTTTAGATAGGATAATTGGGGATAAGGTACACTAGAGCAAAAACCTAACAGAATTGGGAGAGTGAGCCTTGTAGAAACCTGAGGAAAGCATATGTTTCAAGCAAAGGGCCCAGAAAGTGCAAAGACCTTGATGCAGGAGTGTGTTTGGCACAGTCAAGGAACAGCAATGAAACTGGTGTGGCTAAAGGAGCATGAGCTTGGGAGAATGTGACAGTGAGGTTAAGGAGATAGCAGTGGCCTGGATCAGGTAGGTTTTTACACTGAGGAAGACAAAAATGTCTTTTTAGACTCATCAGCACTATAATATACTTTTTTATTCATCAAGCAATTGTTGAACATCTATTTTGTGTCAAGCATTTCACAAGTCAGAAGTGAATAACATACAGTGTCTACCACCAAGCTCAAAGTTGGCTGGGGAAAAACAAATATACAATAATTATTTCCCAGCAAAAGAAAGAATTATAATGGAGGTATATTACAAAATGCTGTAGGAGATAAGACAATAAGAGCCTAATTCTCTTAGCATGGGAAATGTTAACAGAAGCTTAATAAGGTAGGTGATGTTTCAAGTCACATCAAGGATGAATATGAGTTTGTCAGCATAGGGAATCAGTATGCTTAAAGCTGAAAAGGCCTGAAGTAGCCTATTTATATAGATAAAAATAATTGTCTTGTTTACTCTGAAGAGAAAGAAAAGAGCAAATGAGATAATAATGCATGTGAAAATAACTTTGTTTTTGTGCAGCATAAAACAAATGTGAATTCTAGTCCTAATTGGTCCTTTACTCTCAAGATAATTCTTTGCACTATTCTTACAACTTCTCTATTAGTCAGAAATTATGTCAGAAAGTTAAAAGGACAACAAAAATACCATTTATAATGTCATCAAAAAAATATCACACCTAGGAATAAACTGAATAAAAAGTATACAAGACCTCTACCCAGAGCTACAAAACGTTATTGAAAGAAATTAGACTTCCGGTAAGATAGCGCAATAGGCAGACAAACTACACAGACCCTCTTCAACAAAGAAAAGAGAAACCAATTGACACATATACCGAACTTAGTCCTGGAGCCCTGAGCTTTGAAAGGAAGGATACAGAAGTGAATTACACCAACTAGTAGGAGAACCTGAATGAAAACAGTGAGTAAGGAGACAAACAGAGCTGCAGACTGTCAGCTATCCTGATGGCGTGGACAGCCTGAATATTTCCAAGTGGTGTTAAGACCTGAGAATTAACCTGAAAATTGGCCCTGCTTGCCAAGGGCTGCATGGACGACTGCACTGGTGGTTAATGACTGAAAAGGGAAACAGCAAAGAAGGAGATGAACTGAGCTGTGGACTTTCAGCTGTCCAGAGGGTGCAGCCATTTAGGATGTTTACAAGTGGTGGGCATTTTGGATATTTAAAGTGACAGCATTCTTGTTCAGATTCCAGGAACCAAAGAATAGGCTCTGGTTGCCAAGGACGACAAAGACATAAGAGAGGCTGACAACTGGAAAGGAGACAGGTGGTGAATGTATAAGTGCTGCCAACTAACAACAGAGAAGCACAGTACCTGCTTACTCAGATAACATACAAACAAAGAAAACGAATATCTTGGGCAAGTCACTCCAACATACAATCACCAATGAAATATAAACACAAAAATGTCACAATGTCTTGGAGACAGCAGACCATCACAGTCCACAAAAAGAAGCAGAAGAAATAAGGGACCAGGATACAGACCCAGAACACATCCTTGAGGAAGAAGCAGCATTGGAACTCCCTGCAAGGAATTCAAAAGAATTATATCAACGGATTGAGAGACAGATCAAGGAAAACACTGACAACATTGAGGAAAACACAGAGAAAACCCTAGAACAATTTTGGAAGACAATACAAGAACAAAATGACAAAGTAAATGAAAAATTTAAAATGATACAAAATCTACAGATAGAAATCCAGAAGATTAATACTAAATATTCAGAAATAGATAATACATTGAACCAGCAAATAAGCAGAAATGAAACAGTGGAAGATAGAATTAAAGAGACTGAAGACAAATACCTCAATACATCTTTGGGAAGGAATCAATCAGAAAAAAATATCAAAACAAAATGCAGAAAGCCAAAGGTTCATGGGGGATACCATCAAAAGGAATAAAGTACATGTAATGGAAATTCCAGAACAGGAAGAGACAAAACTACAGAGAAAATTGTTGAAGATTTGCTAATATGATTAGAGACAAGAATATATCCATTCAAAAAGTCTAACAAATGCCAAACAGAAAGACCTCAAAAGAAAATCACCAAGACATATCATCATTAAACTCACCAAAACCAAAGATAAAGAATTCTGAAAGCAGCACAGGAAAAAACAGAAGTTACCTACAAAAGGCAACCAATAAGACTAAGCTCTGATTTCTCAGCAGAAACCATGAAACCATGTAGGCAAGAAGGAAATGGGATGGCATATTATAAAACCCTGGGAGAAAAAAATTTCCAACCAAGAATTATATACCTGGCAAAATTGTCCCTCAAAAATGATGGTGAAATTAGGACATTTCCAGATAAACAGAAATTAAGGGAATTTGTTAAAAACCAGACCAACCTTATAAGAGATGCTAAAGGGAGTCCTTTGGGTAGAGAACCAACAGCAGCAAACAACAACTGACTATTAACACACAATTAGGTAACCTAGAAACCAACCTATCCAAAGTAAATAAGCTTACATGATTGTAAACAGGGAACAAGAGACATCAATTGACAAAGGAGGACTACTACAAACCAAAAAGACAGAAAAAACTGTGTTGTTACAGAACTTCTAGATGGTAGGGATGTCGAGACAACTACAAGATAGAATGGACTTTTCTAAACTTGGGAAGAAAATTATAAATCACAGGGTAACCTCAAAGAAAAATCATAAACCTTTACATCGAAATAAAAAAGAGAACCAGCATAAATATTTAGCAAATACTAAAACAATAGCAATAGCAAGGAGCTCTGGTAGCATAGTGGCTAAAGCACTTGACTGCTAACCAGAAGGCTGGTGGTTCAAACCCACCAGCCACTCGGAGGAAGGAAGGTTGGGCAATCCTACTTCCGTAGTGATACTGCCTCGGAAACCCAAGGAGGGGTCGCTATGAGTCGGGGCCGACTCGATGGCACATAACAACAACAACAAAACAATAGCAATGAAGGAAGTGATAACACGATTCATAAACAAAACGAGCTCAGCATAGAAAATTATATGAAACAAAGAAATCGACACCATGAAAAAGCAAATAACAAAAATGACAGCAACAAATTCATATTTGCCGATAATTACATATCTGGCAAGGGACTTATCTCTAAGATTTATAGAAAACTCCAATGCCTCAACACAAAAGGAGTTAACAATCCAATTGAAAAATGGGCAGAAGACATGAATAGACACTTCACCAAGGAGGATATTCAGGTGGCCAGCTAATACATGAAGAGATGGCTCACAATCATTGGCCATCAGAGAAATGCAAATCAAAACAACAATGAGATACCATCTTGCTCCAGCACTAGTAGCAAAGTTCAACAAGACAGAAAATAACAAATGCTGGTGGGGATATGAAGAGATTGGGACTCTCTAATACGCTGCTGGTGGGACTGTGAAGTGATACAACCACTGTGGAAAGCAATATGGTGATTCCTTAGAAAGCTGGAATTGGACATACCATTTGACCCAGCAATCCCATTATTAGGTATATATCCTAGAGAGGTGAGAGCCAGGACAGGAACAGATATATGCACACTCATGTTCATCACAGCACTATTTACAATAGCAAAAAGATGGAAACAACCTCCGTGCCCATCAGCGGAAGAGTGGATGACCAAACTATGGTACATGCACGTAATGGAATGCTGTGTGGCACTAAAGAATAACATAGAGTCTGCAAAACACCACATAATATGGGTGAACTTGGAGGACATTATGCTGAGTGAAATAAGTTGATCACAGAAGGACAAATATAGTAT